AGCAACACAGGCCATGCTAATAACATGCTCACTCAGAAATCTGGGATGCCCAGGCTCTTTTTTTTTAACTATTTTTCACATAGTCAGGTGGCTTAATAATTAGCACTTTGTTGGATAGAAAAAAAGAAGAGTACAATGACAGACTATTTTGAGCCCTCCTGTAATTTCTTGGTAAAGGAGCTGCTACATTTGCTCCTTTCTTCCTGCCATAAACACCTCATCTTACATCTGCACTTCTCCAAAGCAGAGGCTGGTGCCTTCCTCGCTGGGCAGCAGGGCTGCATCCAACCTGCACCAGACGCAGCAGCATTACAAGCTGCCCTATCCTTCGTGAGTCACTCACCCCAGCAGTGCTCTTGGCTCTGCTAGCTGCCTTAGCTATTTGCTGCCAATCAGCTACCTGCTCCTGCTCTCCAGTCCCTCTCACTTTTCAGCACAGTGTCATAAGGTGCATGATTACATCCTATCCTACTTCCTCAAAGGAGACTTCTCAAGCAGACCTCCTGTCGTTGCTGCCAAGCCTGTACCTATCAGGGCAGCAAGCCATTGTCCAAAGTCAGGGTAACAACATACGTAGTCACACTTACATGGCCCAATATTTTATGCACAGTTCCAATTATAAAATTTCCACCAGTAATGGAATTCCCTAGACTTGGCCCAAGATGCGTGCAGTACCATTACAGCTTCCTAGGTTCAGCTGTTGAGGTTCGTACAAGACACCTGTGGTCCAGCAGAGATGAAAGCAGCTGTACCACATCAGGTCACAGGGTCACAAACCCAGACCATTACAGAGAGTGGCCATCACGAGCTGCCTGGAGGAGCAGAGAGAGAACCAAAGGAAGCACACAGCACACATTCAGCTTCTGACCATCAGCTGTTTAGGACTTTCTGATCCGGAGGTTACAGTTGTACCATCTTACTGAATAAGCAGACCATGAACTTGCCCAATTCATTTTTAGGTCAAGGACACCACTTTTGGGCCTCCACAACACTATCCACAGCAGCATATATGTTTTAATGACTCACTGTCTGAATAGTCTGCAAGATAAATACTGTCCTGAACCAGAACTGTATAAATATCACTTACATGGTAATCCACCACTATGACCATTCAATACTAATAACCTCAATGGCTCTCTGCAGGTCCCATCAGGAGTTCTTAACAGGCTAGTAACAGATCTAAAGTATGCATTATGACAAGTTTGTTTATCCTTGGCCCAAAGCTGATGGATGCACACATTACCTAGCTTTGCAGTGGGGCAACCAAAGTAGGCTACTAGTCTCCATTAAGAAACCTGCCCACCAAAAGTTACTCTCAGCTAATCTTTTTTATATTGTTGTGTGGTACCAGAATAACTGTAATTTCTTCCCCTAGTTAATACAGTACTACTGGCCACAGGGTAAAGCATCTAGCACAATGTACTGTTCAGCAGAAACTTTATGTGTAAGGACTTCATATGATCTCAAAAGACTTAGTTCTAGTGGAGCTGTTCGTATATTACAGCATTTTCTGATGGAAATTATTCCCCTAGCTTCTTTGAAAGGCTTTAGATTCCAAGAGGGCATGAGTCACCACTTCTTGGTACACCAAGATTAACATTTCAGTTGACAGTCCAGCTGGCTCAGCTTTTATTTAGCTATAAGTTAATCAGTGGCCTTCTATAACTCCTCCTTGATATGCCAATACATAGCTCCAACGTTCATTCAGGTCTTCTAGTTTTCAGTTTAAAGCTTACGAATCACAGGGAACAAAATAAAAAGTTGTGGGTTTTTTAATGGGCTTACACATTCAAAAGCTTAAAATGCTACTGCTACTTCAGAAACTAATAAGTAATCAAATTTTTTGCTGCAATGCCTGCTTTTTAAGGCAAAATATTGAAGAGGATCATAAAAGCAAACAAGATATCAAAGAGATATGAGGGCCAAAGGACAAACAAGTTACAGAGAAGTAACTAGTCCTTCTGAAAACCAATTGTAAGCCATATAATCCTTAAAACATATTCACCCCTTCTTTTTTAAAATCAGTCACACAACACTCTAGGATTCTTCAAGTAGTCAGGATCACTTCTTCATTTGCACTGCAATAGACACCTGTGCCTGTGCTTGCCCTGTCTGCACCCTCATGCCTGCCCTGTCTGCACCCTCATGCCTGCCCTGTCTGCACCCTCATGCCCTACACACCCCACCCCCAAGTGGTTGTGCCACGATCTTCACGTTGTACTTCAGTCCCTACCTACCTAGGGAGATAAGAAAGATGAAATATCGCGCATTTGTGCAAAAGGGAAAACTGTCCGATGAGAATGTGACCAAACACAAGATCCCTAGGACTTGACCTTCAGACCTTCATCATCAACATTGCAGTTGCCCTTGGATCTCCCTCTGTAGTTACAGATGAGCTCCCCTTGTGCTTAACGCTCCTGCATTTTCAAAGAAAAAGTGAGAGGGCTGTAGTATCACTTCTCACCACAAGATGGTAGATGTCTTCTGATGGTTAGAGAAGAACAGGCTTTCAATAGACCTTTGACTTGGTGAACTCCTCAGCTTCAGAGAAAAGTAGAGGCAAAAGTACATTAGGACCTGAAAAAAAATCTTTTTATGGTACTGCGAATGAACTAAACTAGGGGAAGCTGACATATATTGGGTGCAAAGACGAAAATAAATCCTCAGCTTAGATTCAAGATATTATTAGTACTGTAAGGATTTGGGTGCCCCTTTCTGATCCTGGCTCTTTCTATTAAGGTACTTTATAGTTGAGTAAATGTCTTTTACCATATGTCTTTTACCAACAACATGAAACTCTGGTTATTTTTGAAGACAAAAAAACAGTCCCAAACTAAATATTGGGTAATTTTGAAGCAAACTCATAATAGGAGAAAAAAAATCCCATTAATGTGGATATGTAAAATTGTGTATCTATCTCATGCTGTACACAGGTGCATAGAAACATGTTTATTATCCAAGTTACTAACACATTTGGCCTTGTTTCTGAAATTCCTCAATAAAAGTTGAAAGAGATAATTAAGAGATAATACTATTTCTGTGTATACATTAGAAGAAAGAGTAAATTAACACCATAGATGTTATTTCTCACCAATCATTTATAATAGAAGCTACTTCTTTCTCATCTCTTCTACAGTTTTAATCCTCGTCTTCATAGCACTGTGTAGGCCAATAAACAAAGCCTGAAAAAAATTCAACACAGCAATAATTTCACGCTGAAGTTCCAAAAGGCTAAAGCCAACCTTGCTGATTCCATCCTAGCAAGGCTTGCACTGTTTTGTCACATTTAGGAATCCCATGCAACTCTCATTACCACAATAACAAATACATATTTACCCAAACGACCTGCCTTTGAAATCAAGAATCACCATTTACAAATGTAAAATGCAGAGATCAAACAAGCTAGTAGGTCTGTCCAGCTGTTTAATTGCCCCTCTGCCCCTAACAGAAGGTACAGCAAGCCTTTCCCAAAGCTGCAAACTTCTCTTTCTGATCACTTCTTTTAAGATGGAATCAGTCTCAGTCCTCAACAAAAATAGAGGCAACCAAATACTACAGACTCCCCTTTCCAAATAAGTTCTTCATAGTGCTGCTTATATTCAGCCTGTCTGACCAGTAGATCCATACCTTTCCTATCTACTTAAGGCCAACCGACCACAGTTCTGTAATCAACACTAGGTGAACTCAGGGGCTAGACAAAGCATTTTTTTGTCAAAAAGGCAAAAAGTCCAAGTCCTCATTTAATGGTGTTCTGCCCTCTGTCCAAAACTGACCCAAAACTTAAAGTTTGCAAAATATATTGAAATTAGTTATGAATAACAAATTGCTTTGCCTTCATGGATGGAAGAACATGATATGATGCAAAAATTACACAAGCAGGCTGCTCTGTAAGTTATTATAAATGCCATGCACTTTCTTTGACCTTGTTTAAACAATTCTGCTGTCTGACAAATAATTTCCAACTATGTCTGGCCATAAGTCAAGAGGGTTACCCTAACTTAAACAACCACATATAAGAATTTACATTCTTTTTCCTCTTGTGAGTGAAGCTAACAGCTTCACTTGGAATTGTGGGAGGCAGACTGAGACAGTGGAAAACATGCAGTCTCTTGCACAAAGCGCTGTCCAGGCAGAGTTGCAGCTCTCCATTATTCAGCAGTGGTTTGGGAAGAAGTCTGGTTTACGGTTGCTGTACAACTTATTTTGAAGCAAGCATCTGGGGCCATGCTGACTACCCTATTCTTTACGGTAGGCTTCCAAAGGACAGTCCCCAATCCATCCTGCATGCCTCCCCACAGATCAAAAGGGACTTTTGAGGGGCATGCAGCGAGTGAGGCAACTGAACACTGTCACCATTTTGCTGGGAATGCCCCATAGTTGACCACACAGCAAAACTCGGTGCTCCTGGAGCACAGCACTGTAAGTTTGCCATGGAAAAACAGTTATTAAGCTCATCAGGTCTTAGGCAAAGCTGCAGGAATGAGAGAGTACAGGGGCTTGGGCAGCTTCATAGAAGATAAAGTGGGTGGGAGAGGCAACTGATAATCCTGCAGGAACAGAGATGGCAGCCAAAAAACAGGAAATCCCTGAAGGGAGAGCAGGTCTCATACAGGAATAGGAGAAAGATACAATAAAACTGATAGCCTATTAGAGACTTTTTAGTGTCCATTGCCCAACTGGTTATTAATTCAGGAAAAGTTCATCCAGTATAGATTTCATACCTCTCTGTAGTTAGTAACTCCACTGCAAGTGTCTAGATAAACCTCTTTGTTTATCATCTTGTCAAAATGTACTAACTTTTCATATAGAATAGATTGAAAAATGCATCTTCCTTTCTTGAACAGCAGTATCGGTTGCAAATGTAAGTGCTTTAAGGAGTCATGAATTTCATATACAAGATGTTTTTTACACAGCACAACTAGTTGATAGTTCATGGGTTCCAAGGTGACTGGTGAGAAAGAAAACAGCAGTGTTCCTAGCTGTAATAAAAACAAAACCAATAAAGTCAAACATTGACAATCTATATTTCTGTAAAAATAGCATACATTATAACAGAAGATATAAGAATAAACCAAACACTCAGAACCAATTTCTTGTAAAAAGATACAAAACTGAGAAAAAAAGAAGTGTGTACATCTCCGTTTATGACATACAAAGAGGAAGAAAAGTATTTCAAGTATACTAACAAATAATCCAGTGTGTGGTGAAGTTTAAGGCTAACATTTTCACTCTTCAGAGCTGTATTTATACAGAATCCACCCATGTACTCTCAGAAGCAGCTTTATTTCCATTAGACATGAACCCTTGCAGCTGACATTGAGTTTTCAAGAGCTTTGAGGGATCAGAACTCATCTCCAGAAGACATCAGCATTTCTGGAAAATTTTACAAGTTTTAGCCAGGAAACAGGAAGAGGGATTGATTTCAGTTGAACACATTGATTCAGGAATGCTGCTGCATCATTTTTTATTCCCATTCTGAATCTTAGGTGAGGGTTCCAGCTCCTTGCTGGACTGGATCTATATAGCTGTGGTAAGCTATGGGAGGGAAGAGCCTTTGGCACACATGCCAGCACTCATCACTCAGAATTAAAACTTGACACACAGACATACGATCCTAAATCATGTATGCAGTTGGCCCAGGGTATGGGGATTTTGTTGGACAAGCTGCATTATGAGCTATTTGCACGTAGGCAGTGGATACCTCTGTAGGAACTGAAAATAGCAGAGAGCCCAGCCACAACAACAGTCCTCAAAGCTGAATCTAGAGCATTAACTTAGGGCAGAAGATTATTTGCAAAAGTTAGAGTTGACAGACATCTATCAGGAAACTCCAGTACCTGGAAGAGGAATGCAAAACATTTGAACTGCAGCCCCAACAAGATACAGCAGTACAACTTCCTCCTTAAAATACAGATAGAAAACTAAAGAGTTTTAAACAGTAGCAGCTTTTTTGAAAAAAGTTATTAAAAATTCCAGTCTTTTCTAAAAAAATAAAAAATTCAAACCTCAAATTTAGGTCACTCTTTCCACCTTGAAACAAGATTTTCAGCTTCTTGAAGTCATGACAATAAACTTAATTTATGCCACCCCAGAACTAGTGCCTGACACTCAAAATGTTAATCTTTACTTCTAGCTCCTTTGTAACCATATCGCTCAGTATCTATAGTAAAGTATTACTAGAGGTCCTTTTTCATTCTCTTACAATAGGAAAGTAAGTATACAGCATTAGATCTCCCTTAGCTTTGCTACTAATTCTTATTATTTCTACTACAGAAAGTAAACAGCGCATCAGCCAGCAGCCCATTCTAGTTTTACCCCACATGTCTTGACATACTATTCACCAGTGCTTTGGTATATACACCTATGTACATACTAGTATTGCCTGAGATGTCAGAAGAATGGCAGGAAAAAGACTGATTTCTGATTAATTTAAAGTGTAAACAGTGTAATTCAGAGTATCCAAATCCTTTGAAAAACATCAGTCTAAACAACTAATAAGTGCTTTAATAACCCTCCACCTGTACTGCAGGTGAATTCACCTGGTAATTTTCCATTAAGAGTGGCTCTAATCAATACACAGTGCTAGTTTCACACAAGTGTGCAACTACCTTGGTGTGGGGCAGAAGGTAGGTCAACCCACAGGACTGTAAAGAAAACCACAGCCTGTGTAAAGGGAAGTTATAGTCAATATTAACGATATCCTGTGAGTGAGGCATTAGCCTCTCACACTGGAAAGTGAGAGGCATTTGATACGTGCACACTGTCTTCAAAACTTTGGAAAGTAATTTTAAGTATAGAGCATTTTAATTGGGTTTTTTGAGCCCTGGAGATTATGGGTTATAAAGTCTCTCTGAATTGCGCGATTTCTTCATAGGGCAAATATATTCTTGTTTATAAAAGAGACTTAAAGCTTAATTTGCTCAAATGTAATGTTGAAACCTTGAATTAATTGTAACGTGCAAATCCAAATTGCTGCTTGGAACACTGAGGTGTTCCTGTGCCAAAAACAGTGTCACAAAGCTTAAAAAAAAGAACAAAAAATGAAAAAAAAAAAAAATCTCATCTTCTACTAGGTAGAAGAGACAAAATTGTGGAAGGGTTGCCAGTAAGGCCAAGAGACTTGCCTTCTAATTGTGGCTTTAGCCACAGAACAGCAGCAGAACACAGCTGACATGGTTCACAACTGCTGCAGTAAAACCAGTGGTCTGGCTTTTTCATTCCTCTTCTGCTTAGGAAGCCTACCAACAGCAGCAAAGAAGCTGAAGGAATTTGTAGGCTCAAGAACACAACCTGGATGACTCCATCCCCTTTTGGAAGATTATCTTTGCAACCCTGAGGGTACAGAGCTTACATATGTGTATACAGTAGATAAGGCTGACACAGTATACAAACTGTCAGTACAGGCTTTCTCTCTCTTGCAAGGGAAACTTCCAATGTATTAATGGCAGCTACTCCCAGCATTTAATACATACGGACTAACAACTGCCTTTGACCTAGAAGTCATTCTGGTAAGTTCTGTTCCCTCTCTTGGGCCATTCCTCCTCCACCCATTTCAGCAGCACTTTCACAACATCAATTCTCTTATAAAATTTACAGAGATCAATCAGCTGCTCCACAGTCCGGTCACTATTCCGTAGCAAGAACTCCAAGGTGGGACTCTGGGGCTTCTGTTCAAGGAAACACAATTCATCATAAGTCATCCCCCACTTGCTTGCTAAATTTCTCCAGTTTTTCACTGTTGGGTGGCAGGGATCCAGCTTTAGCCTCACTGTGTACAACAAGTCCTCATCATTGAGCATGTCACTGATGGTTGGTGCACGGAATAAGCACAAGGAGCAGGTGACATTTTCCTTGCAGGTTTTCTTGAGATCTGCAGTGAAAACCATTACATGGGGAGAAGTTAGGATCTATTGCTGTGGTTTCACCGGGAACTAAAAGTTAAGAGTAAAAATAGTTGAAGAGTATTACATTCCTGTGAATCACTTCTGAAGAAGTCAGAACAGTGACATGCAATGCCTTTCCCTATGAAGAACTCATGAAATTAACTTCCTAAAACTTCTCTCTTTGCTATATGCAGTGGCTTCAATCAAAAGGACAGTAATTTTGAAAGCACCATATTTATACTTCTATAGAAAAGACATAGGATTCAATGCAGTGTGTGAGCTAGGATATTCCCCTTTTGTGTTTTTGGAACTAGTTGCTTCCTCAAATCAGCCATAACCCCCACCTACATCACCAACAGGATTATATATGCATTTTGTGCATCTTGCATATGTGTGTTGTAGGATAAAGAAAAGGTTTTGCATTTCTAATCTGCTGCCTTCATAGCAACATGAAATACGTGCCCCAGGAGAATCTCTTCTGACAGTTCCAAACACCTAGTACTTTATCACAATGAAAAAGTGGAAATGTTCCTTTGCTTTGTAAGGGCTATTGCAATAATAGCTGTCCCTATTCTACCAAGGAAGCCCATTTGAAATGTGCATTATTGAAAGGAATAAAGTGCATACTTTTCCATGTGTGAGAAAAATAGAAATATCAAGTTGCTGGAAAGAGGTGGTGATATGTTCTAAAATCTGCATCAAATACCAAATATCATCATTTAGAGGTCTCTTACGCACATTATCTCTGCAGCAGTGTGAACAATGTGGTGTTGTCAGACCGTATTATATATTAATAGCCCATAAAAGCATGTGGAAACCTGTTCTAGTCATACCTCTAGTTAAACACCAGTACCAAAACCTTTAACACTGCAGTGATGTAGGACATGGAATCAGCATTTTGGCTGCAGATATGACGTTAACTCTCCTTGCTCCTTCTTGAAAGTAGGGAGAATTTGATCTCTCTAAAGATAATGGACACATCCTAGAAGCATTTTCTAAAGCTTCTGTACTCCAGCCTCCCTGTACAGCTTTAAATAGGGAAATAACTAGTCCTACTCGGGATGAGACTTTTTCAAAAAGGGGCTGATATTAATCAAAAGATTGATTAAAAACAACAGAAAACAGTGACACACAATTTACAAGTGCTGGATCAGAAGCCTGAACTGTATCTCTGGTAAAGTTAGTGTAACCTACTCATACGAACAACAGCATCTGTTAAAGTTGTTTGTTTGTAGGGTTTGTGGCTTTTTTTTTGTTTTAAATTATTATTAATTTATTTGCGGTAATTATTGTCAGATTGCGTGAAAAATCCAGAAAGACCATCAAATAGTGAGCTGAATGTAGTGTCTGCATGCACTTTGTACTTTGTTTTTAAGGAAAGAACAGGCTATTGTTATTTTTGTAAGACTGCTCATCAGGTTGCTCTTTTAGCAGGCCAAAGACAACTTCTGAAGTTTTCAACAAGCTAGGACATGCAGTAACAACGGTGCTGCAGACACATAACTTCATGCAAATGCTCAGATTCCCTCCTAAGGGGAATCATGTTCTGGTGACATGTTTGCTCACAGGTATTCCACAGACCTCACAGCTGTTCTCTAGAGAAATATGTATTTTAACTCTTCTGTTCTTCTTGTGCACCCTAGGCTCTTGCTGAAGTGAGACAAAGTTTTCTTGCCTCATTCATACCAACATTTACTTATACAAACAAGGCAAAATGAATATAATCCAATCAAAGTTCTGGCTGAGCAAAAAGGGCAGGAGAGCACCCTATCTGAACTTCATCTTATTTACTCTGGCAGGGATTCCAGAGTAAGTTTTATCCTCCAATAAAAGCAGGGAAGAAGGGGTAAAGAAAACACCCCTGTGAAAGGGCACAGTTATAAGTAAACAAAACTAAACCAACCTGCTTCTTGTGCTATACCATCTGCAAGACTATCAAAAGCATCATAAAGAATCCTGCTTGTCTAAGATGCCCCATGTTAGACACTGACAAGCAAATGACTGACCTACCCAACTAATTGCATGATCCTGATGCTACGTGATAGGACAAGCTTGTTTTACTTATAGAAAACTCTCATTTCTTATTGTTAGACTGAGAGAACTGCATGTCATACACACACACACACACATATCCCTCCCACAGCAGGGCTCATACAATTATGGGATAAGCCCCCACAGCCTACTGCCACTCTTGCTCTCTCCCAACAGCTATTTACAGACTATTTCTAAAAGTGGATGTACTACATGCATTTGGAAAACCCAAGTTACACACTTTGTATGGTTTGCATTATTGATCACCAACCTCTCAGAACAAAGGGGAAACTGTAAATGACACAGGTCATGAAATGAGGTCCGTAAATACTGGTTACCCAGGCAGTTCTTGGTTATGACAAACAGCAGTTTTTAATAAAGTACTTTCAAAGAAAATCTAAGAATAAAATACATAGAACAAGAAAGCTGACACGTTACCTGAAAGTGATTCGTCAGTATGGTTTTGCGTGTCTTTGTCTTCTGGCTACAAAGCAGAAAACAAATATAAATCAAAATAAAACAATGTACTGGAACACTAGAATAGTTATTTGGCTAATTTGCAACTGGCAAGAGATTACTTACAAGTAGCTCGGGATTCTTTTAAAGTCAAACAGGGAATATATAAGGTTTTGAGGAATTTCTGACAATCTGCAGTCTTTTCAGACAGCATTTGCATGCTTTGGCTCACAGAACTACGCTGTTGGTTGTATTCACTGAACAATTGCATCTTTATTAATAATATGCTATAGTATTATATCTTTTGAATAATTTGCTCTTAATCCTCAACAGCTGTTCAACAATTTCTATGCTTTGACTAAATATTTTTAAATGTTTTGTTATCAGAAAAAAACAAGGACTTTGCCTGTTAAATGCAGTAGTGAGGGATTGTTTCATTGATCTAGGAAAAGTGGGGGAGCTTTTTTTACAAACTTCTTTACATGCCTAGGAAGCTTTTTTAGACAACATGTTGATTTGAACATTTCTGCTGGCTCAGATGTAACCCTCCTTCTGTTCCAAGTAAACCTCAGTGGTTTTTTGCTTACTAATTAAACATAATGAAATTCTTAGCAACATCAGACTGTAACACACGTTGTAACATTAAAATTCAACTACTTAGGAACATCTAAAATCTGGAAGACAGCCCTTGATCCTAGAACTGCGGGAAACTGCAGCTCCCCTTATTTTAACTATGCGGGTGTGGAGCCAGATGAAATAGCTTTCCTCTGCTGAGGATTTAAAGATGAAAGTAAAAGGGGATTTTCCCCTTAGATAGCTGCAGTAAAGTATTGTTGATTTTTTTGTATCATGTCATTCTTCCAAAACTATCACAGCAGGCTTCTTAACATTGTGCATGCAAACACAAGTCGTTATATGGGTAAAAATACAGTGTAATAAGATACTCTATTCCTACCTGCTACACCCTCTTTACTAAGAAATCCATTAAAAATAGAATATAGGCACTTCCAGTTCTTTAGGTGAATTTGCATATGTTCACAACCCAGTTATAAAGTAGGTGAACTATCTTCAAAATATTTACAGACTTTGTTAGGAAAGGAAAAATTTGCATACTATTTTCAGCATTTCTTTATTCCTTGAAAACGGCAAGATCACACACGCAACATCAAAATGTCTGCTCTCTGCTCAAGAGAGATCTAACACTGCACATGCCAATTGCAACAGGATAAATGTTGCCATTATCTTCTACTAATTTACTTTTCCACTGGCTCCACAACAGCTTTATCTGGACAGTGCTTTTTTAAACTTAAAGTTGGCCTTTGTAGCAACACGTGAGCACTCAAAGTTTAGGAAAAACTAAATATAAAGATCCTGATTATAGTAATTGTCTTCACTCCCACAAATTCCTTAAAAAAGTAGAATATTATTACTGAGCCCTGAGGAGCAAACTCCCAGAAAGATAACCCACTGGGAGAAAGAAGAACTTCCCAGCGCAGCTCAGCCTCCCCAGAGATCTACTTCAAAAGACACAAACAAGCAAATTATATTAAAAAAAAAAGCAGATGCTGTTCACTTAGTTGCTATCCTGACCTTCAGTAACGTTTCCTGGACTTGATGAACTCATGAAAGTTCAAACTGTATTGTGAAAGCTGATACCTAAATGCCTTTATGTCATTATACACGTCTTGTGATTAAAAAAACACAAGAGTGGGCAGTATGGGAAAAGGTACAAAGTAAAGCAGGGATACTTACCTGTGCCATACATCTGTTTTCAAAATTCATATTTTTACCAATCAGTCATTATCCACTTTTATCAAGACAGATGCAAGTGGGTTTATTCAAGATCATTTTCTTGTAATGTAATTGCAGTAAGACAGTGCAGTGTTACTGCCCATGAAAAAAAGGCATTCTTAAGCACACAGTGGATGGGCTATGGATCTAATCAAAGCCATAAACCTAAGCACAGTCTGAAGGTAAGCAGAAAGTTTTCCAGTTCTGTGGAACCATTAACACCCTGATACACTGAATTATCTTTGCTGTTAATAAATGCTCTCTTCTTGATGATGGGAATGAACTGTTACCTCCATCATCTGTGAAACGCATACCAAACCCATGTTTGTTTCTGATGAAATTCAGCTGGGACTCTGGCATAAGGAACTCCTTTTAATTCTTCGTCTCGCTGGAAAATGCTCATTCATTTTTCTTCTTCAAGTTTTCTGCTCAACCCAAAGAGAATCAATTTGAAATTCAGCAAATAACGTTCACTTGAAATATGATAACCATGGAGCATGGGAGTCACTCAGCATTGTCCATTCTGTGGCAATGTAAGATGTCACAGATAATGGAGAGTGTTTAAACTGTGGGAAGAGCAGCATCTCAAAATGAAAGCAAAACAGTCAAATGCCTCCCAAAGGGCAAAACGTAGGATTCCTTACTTCTTCACTTATTCTCTGCCCTGGCTCTATTTTCAACAAGAAAGAGGGACAGCATGCATGACAAAGCCTTACTATTTGCTGTCTCTTCTTCAGAGTATCTACACACTAATCAAAACCTATTTAAACTAAAAAGTTTATGTTAATGATAAAATAATCTTTGTTCTTCTCCACAAAAGCTCACTTCACTGAACTCTTGGAAAGAGAACCTATTTCTGGTCTCTTTTACTGAGTAATTCTGTGCTCTCCAGATATAATCTGAAAATATATTTATTTGTTAAAATACTTAATCAACAGCAATAACTTATTTCACATTCAAGTATCATTTTTCTTACCTGTTGGATTAGGCCAGAATCTGATGTAAGGGTCTTGATGTTCACAGATGCAATTTCCAAAGTAACTTGATCTGTTAGGTATTCCTCATCTAAGACAAAGAATGTGAAACACTGGTCTCCCACCCAAATACAAGTTTAAATAGTAAGACTATCAAACATAAATTATAGGTGTCTAACATACAAAATTTAACTCCATATCATGGTCAGGCACTGGGAAGTGCTAGATTATAAGACGAAAATATTAAATCATAAGAGACTGTAACAATCATGCAGAGTATAACTGTGTGAAGAAATATAATCCTTGCAGAGATTAGCTATGAGGGTAGCAGTTGTCTTCTAAACAAACACCACGCTACTTGTAAAGCAAGAGTCATGTTCTTATTTCAGAAAGCTGACTACAGGATATTAACTGAACCAATACATCAGAGTAGGCTGAAGATACTGTCACAAGTCACTAGAGTTTTCGTTTTGTTTTTCTCATCACACTTAGTGTGTGATAGTTGTTGAAATATATACCGTATAAATAATTACTTTTTATTCTGTCCCTTTGTGAACTGGGCTCATCCTACCTATTTCTACTGCACAGGAGTTTTCTGAAGCACTGAAACAGTACATTTCAAAGTGTGTTTATCAAGTGCCCTGATACTCCACTGTAAAGCACAGCATTCCCCATTACAGCACAAACTCTATTAACCTTTCAAGCATCACTTCAGTCCTCAAAATGGGATAGAAGGGATACATAAACCCTTTGTGAACCTTGTGCAAATGGAAAAATTTCACTCTGTTTGGTTAATAAGGTCCTCCTCATCAAACCATTTGCATCATTGCCCTGCGTCAGATGCTGACCAACCATTAACAAAAGCTTAAAAGAGGTTATATTCCACATGTTTTTACACAAATGAATGCTCCATGGTGGTGACTGCCTTTGTAGTGCTGGTACATTTCCATTTGCTGTTTGCCTAGTGGAAAGATCTCATTAAAGAACATCTATTATCTTTACAAATCATCAGATAACAGAAAGAAGACATATTTCCTTATCTCGCTCAATAAATTTATCTGAATCAAAAACGCATCCTTACACTTGCAAGAAAAAAAGACCAAAATCATTATTTTCCTCTTTTTCTGGATTTATAAGACTGTTGAAACTTAAAGCCAAATAGTATTTCACCCCTAGCAGGGTCAGGGGTGAAATCCTTACAATGTTTAGTAAGGATTATTGTTATTCTTTATTACTATAGATTCAGAAACAAAGACAAAACCCCAAAACGAAACAAAAAATTCTGTCTGAAAATGAAGAGCATGGACATCAAATTTGTGGAAACAGTACGTCTGAAATTTGCTCAATATTTGATGGCAGGTAGAATTATAATCAAATCACGATAAGCATTAAGACTACCCCTGCAAGATAAAAAGTTCCCACAACTCCCCTTTATTTCATAATCAGTAGAGGGTGCCAAGAACTTTAATAAGTTATGGAACCAAAGTGGCCCATTAATTAATTTAGCTGTAAAAGCAACAGACAGCCACTCTTACCAATGTACTGTCTATTCAAGCATTACATCTGAAGCGAACATAATTGTGTGTTACGCAGAATCAGACCTGCACATCTGTTACACCTTTTATCTCACAGGTTCGTATTTCTAAGTCTGTATTTTTATAGAAATAGTTATGAAAAGTCATTCTCAGAAAAAAAATTGAAATCATGGAAATGAATGGAATATTAAGAGGTATTTGTATCACTTTCAACTACAAAGGGGGAATGTCAAGCTATATTTTTATATTAGTATTTACATCTTCTTACACTTAGCAAGAGGAAGTTGAAACTATAAATATAAACTGATTTCACTTCCTTTCATGTTGACATTTCTACTTCCATCTTAACTTTCCTTTTTAAATTAAATCCATTTAAAACATGCAATTTCAGATTTGAACCAACTTTGACAAATTTAAAATTTAGGAATTATCTAATTAATTTTGAGGAGATCCTAATACCATGGGTGAAATAAAAAACAGGACATGGAAAAGAATGCTACAGTGTAATTGTTTTAGTGCTAATAAAAGATTCTGAAGGACCAAACCACCTGCCTGCAAATAAGGAGAAAGTAGTTTATGATTTCAAATAGTCTTCATCCTGTGTTGTACTTCTCTATTGAGTAGCACTTCGGAAAAGATTATTATTTCCTCTAGCTGGCTTCCTCAAGTCCCCAGAATAACCTCCCACCTTTCTCTAAACCCAGTGGTATACTGCTCACACTCCTCAACAGAAGTTTCCGTTGTCTGTGACTGTCCCCTTGCAGACCTGCTGTGCAACACAGGACAGAGAACACACTACCTGCAGAGGGCTTCTCAGCTGAGCCCCTGCCCACGCATTCCCTGCACAATGCCCAGTGGTGAAGCCTGGGATGACAAAAAACTAAAAAACACCCCACATATCGAGGAGACCATAAAGGTGATATTCACACTGTGTAATCCATGTATTCTACTTCAGTGCAATACGGAACCTGCACTCGCTCTCTGCATTTTCAGTGAGGAGAGGCAACAACTCGTGAAGAGTTGACCTAATAGTAGGATCCCAAGTAGATGGCATTAACACCTGCTGAAGGCAATCAGAAGCAGAAGACCTGAATGGTATTTCTTGGTTATATTTCTGCCAACCTGAAGGCACTAGTAATCTCTTCAAAGCCACCTTCTAACATTATGATGCCTCTACCATCTGTTGCCTGAACACTGTTCTTCGATGGCACCACTGTATTTTCCTTCCAGCCTGAGAACCCAGATCTTCTGATGATAGTTATAGATTGGCTTTTAGATCAAAACTAAACTTTGGAAGGAAATTTCAAAAGTTAGATATACACACCAAACTGACCTTAAAAATACAGAAGAGGATATTACATGGAAAACACACATCTAGGAAAAAGTATGAGTATTTCAATCTTTGGATAACACCACTGGGTTTATTCCATATAATAACACATATCTATGACACCTGAATAGACAGAATTCACAATACTTACCTTTAGGCACTCCTGTGTCTTGGACAGGATATTTTTCAGTCTGTCACAAAAAGGCAAGAAACACAGATACCTGTTATTTCAAGTGTAATTGTGCTGGAGAAAGAGTATATAAAATTCTGTAATTATAGTTGCATCACTTAAGATGCTAGTAGTTGATCTGTTCCCCATCAGATACAGTAACACTCTTCTTACCTGGTAACTGAGAGGCTACCAGCAATTCTGATTACCACATGCAAAAGTAACAGAGATTGCTACCGTATTTTTAAAGTTATTACTTACTAGTGAAATAGCAGAGGTTGGGAAAGAAATTTTGCACTTAAGTAGCAAAATAATCTCGAAAAGGTAATGCATACCAGGAGGAACAGAGATTATTTCAAATGTTCTTTTGGCAGCTTTTGATAAAATATTACTGTATGGAAAAAAAGAAGAAAAAAAGAAAAAGAAATATCTGCCCCTTCTTTTCTAAACTTAAATAGTCAACTAAGATGCAATAGAAAATTATTATTACTGAGTCTAAGGAGATAGCTACTGATTTCTGGGCATGTTATAACCTTCCCTATGACCCTCAACCTTATGCAAAAGTAGGTGTGGCTTTTAAAGAAGCTCTTAACCAAGAAAACAAATTCATAGATCTTAGCTTAATGGTGGGGGTGTGTGTTAAAGAAACTTCATGTTTCAGACATAGCAACTTCCCCTCACCTTTAAAAAAAAAAATTCCCCTTGGCAAAATACAGTATCTAATTTACTCAGTCCACAAAAACAAACACAAAGTCTATAGTTTTTATTAAAACCTGCAAGCACAAATGCACATAAACATACTGCAATAATGGATCCCAGTGAAGCCTCAGCATTAAAGTACTAGTGAAATTTTCAGAGTTTCCTGCAGAGTCCCTGTTGCAAAGCTTCAAAACAAGAAGAAGACACCAAGACAAAGAAATAATTTGCTCACTTGCCATTCATAAAATAAACTAATGCATTTCAATCTGTTTACATAACTACATTTGACATTTGCCCTGGGATACATGGCGCTGTAAATTTTCCCCCAGAATAAATAATCCATAGCAACACTAAAAAAACCCACCAAACAAACAAAACAAACAAAAAAACCCCAATCAAAACCAAAATAACCCCACATTTAAAACACTTTCAGATTCCTTCTACCCCAGCAGAAATACTCCTACCTCAGCATTAGACTGGAATGCTCAATATCTTAAGACACTTGTCCTAAACGATGTTCCTCTGCCAGTAAGCACTAGAGGGCTCTCTTTGGTCCCTCCCTAGGTTCACCCGTGCCTGCCAAAGGCACTGCTCTTTGGTACTACCTTTCCACGACTTCAACTCATCTGGCACAAGAAGGAATAACATCTTAGCACAATTGAAATTATAGGCCCTAGATGAGTTTTCTTATCCCTCCAAACTATATAGATAGAAGAACGTCAGCACTGATTTTTTTCGGTTCTTGGGGTTTTTTTAATTAAAAAGCTGGCGCTATCATAGCCTCAGCTGATGCACTGATTGGTATTTTTATTTACACTTTAACTGCACAAGGTTAGTAAATTAAAATTTGTTTATGCAATCATACCAATAAGCAAAATCCTTATTTAGAGTTAGCATCCTTGAAAGTTTTTACCCCACTTCTGCATTACATAACCATAGAGAGCTATAATGATTTGAACTGTATTAGACCAGAAACGCATACCATTGTTAAGGAAAGAGTGCTTGGATCTGTATCCTCCACCGGCTCTTTTGCTGCATGATCTGCTGGAATAAGAAAGTTTTATCACTACGTAATCATCAAAGTGTTTCTGTCTGCCAATTCATATTTTGCTTCTTTGTCTGACCAAGATAAAGCACAGCTATGCAGCCATTACACGGATTACATTTCCACAAGAAAACATGGCAAACTGGAAAGAGCTAGTAGCACGCAGATGAGAAACTACATGCAACAACGAAACCCAACTCTAAGTTAACAAAAGATAGACTTTTTAAAAAATTATTTTTAGTTAAAAAAAAATCACAAAACAATTCAGTAATAAAGAATAAAATCCAGTAAATTTTCTAAAAGCTGAGTTCTGTTCTCTCAGTGACAGCTCTCCACTTTTTCCTCAAAAAAATAATTCAAACAGGAAACATACCCACTACAACAAAAATTAATACTACTACAAGCAGCAGATTGTAGTAACCTAATTAAAAAACATATTTGAGGAAAATATTATTTGTATACAATAGAATAATAAACTTCAACTATATTGACACCAAAAGAATGCAAAAAATAAATCTTCAAAGTATCTGCAGGTGATCATGAAATGTCAACCCCTCTGCATCAATGACTAAACTTAATAATAGGGAGATACTGATCACAACTGCACAGAGAATCTAAAACAAATCTCTACAGAAGTCAGGATTCACAAAACCACTCCTCTAATTTAACATCATCCTGCCATGCTTTCAAGAAATGTCTTCTGTTGATTAGCATCAATGTTCCTAAAAATTGAAAAGCATTTTAAATTATGTAGTAAGATCTTCATTCCGATTTTGTCACTCTCACTAAAAGTCCTCGTACTTACTACAAGTACAAAATAAAAGTTTTCAGCTGCAACCAGTAAGAGGTGATTGGAATCAATATTTGGTGATTACCTTCTCCCAAATATAAAAAAATAATGCATTTCGAACACAGTCCAAGAAATTAACTACAAAATGCACAGTATAAATAAACACTGAGCCCCAAAATAGCACAGAAGTTACACAGACATTATTCTAACCAACTCAAATTTAGCATAATTGTTTATTTTGGGACCTAATCCTACAAATCTACTCAACACAAGAGAGCAAGATAAAGTGTAAAACAATGCAAGATAATCCAACACACTGAAAATAAAAAAGGTGGGAGCAGTGGGACAGAGCTGTTCTCCCTTCTGCTTCTGTGAGGCAGCCTCACCAGCAGAAGTTCCTGGGTGTTCAGTGTGGCGCCCAGCTCCTCTCTGTGATGCCAGATAGAGCCTTTCTCAGCACTAGAGCCCACGGGAAATCCACAGGCATTGTCCAGGCAGGTGGCATGTCATCAGAGGGGTCAGACGACAAGGCTTGAGCAGAGTCTTCGCACAGAGACACACTAAATGCTTTGAAAAGGCAGGGGACTATGAAATTTCAGATGAGCATCGTTCACACTGCAGTTCAGGAAGCCATATGCAAAAGAGAAAAAAACAACCCTACCAAAACCCCATATTCTTGTCACACATGCCCCTTTTGGTAAATATGAAATCCCTGCTCCAGAAATATGGTATTAACAGAATGATCTGGATAAAGCCTGCCGTGATAGCAAGTCAGCACAAACTGAAGCACATAAGCTTCCCAACTCAAATGCAGAGAGGATGAGAGTCACTGAGACATAAGAAAATACAATAAGTTGTCATAAGACATTGCACAAAAAGTAGGTCCAAAAATGGAGGTTCCTTGTGGGAACTATAGTGTAAAGCTGCAGAGGATCTGGAAAGGAAGCTGGGGCAAAGAGAAGCCCACGCTGTAAAGGAAAGCTGAAAAATAAGGAGGCATTGGCAACCAAAGGCTCTAGGGAAAAAGGCCAACACAGGCATCCCTAGTCTCCCTGTTTTTCCATTCAAACCCAATGGCAAAGCATGCAACCAATGTAAGAGGAGGTAGATGAAAGCAGACCCCACAGAATGTCGATCAACCTTGTTGGCTATGTAGCTACTTAGGTAAGGGCTTTGTCCCCTATCCTCTGTTACATCTCCAAGATACGACCAAGGTACATTATGGCACTGGGAACTTACTTTCTGTGATCCACACGGAAGCACTGAAAAAATGGGAGAAGCTCCAAGAATATTGGCATTTGAAACAAGGACTTGACAAACTCCAGGGTGTCTCTACAAGAGGTGATGGGGTACCTTTGATTCCTGCTATGTTCACTCAGAAACACACACACACGAATCTATGACTCTGCATCTTTCTTGCTTAGTATCCATCCTGAAAAACATTTCAAAACTGTTTCTTTCCCTATTTCTCAATTTCTTCCCTTTTTTCCAGTTCTTCATGATGAACATTGACTTCCATGGTTTTTAGGTTGCAGAGTACAACCAAGTCCCAACATTTTCTGTAAGTGGTATGTATGTTTATGAATATTTGTACCTAAGATTAAAGACTCAATAAACTGGACTGTAGATGATTCACCGTGGTCTTGTTGGCCACTGACAATAGGCAGATAATCTGAAAAGCAGACTTAATATTTAATGGTGAATAACACAATTAAAATGCCATGTCCCCTCCTCTTTCCCACATAGATCTCCCACAACATTCTGCAGCTCATGTCATACAGCTGGACACAAGTGCACAAAGCAGCAGGGAGGGTAGTTCTCTGTTTACCTCAAATGTAAACCATCCACAGTTTTGCATGCTGAAAGGCCAACAGGAAATGAGGGTATCATCTGACTGACTATTCAGTGCATACTGTCTGATTTCACAGTTACTTTCACAGACAGCTTCATAACATCACCTGGGATCCCTCAAAAAAATCACTATCACCATACTCCCCACTGACAGCACACAGCCACTGGCCTACATTTACTTCCCCACACTTCTACAGGGAACCTCAGGTGAGTTGACTCAGATGGACATAAATCAGCACATGCAAATTGTCTCGGACAGTCATAAGTCAGATTTGATGGTTGCTTCCAAGGTTCACTGCACACTGCTGCACCTGCACACTGCCCAGCGGCTGCTACAGCTCTGCCTGGGCCCATCCAGTACAACCAGTCTGCACGAAGAGCAGCCAACTTGTACCAGAGCCCATCGTTGCTCTCTGTGCAACACCTGAACTACAGTGTGGATGCAGTGCTGTGCACTTACCAGCACAAACAGTTTGTCAATTCTGTATCTGCTTTTCATCTTTGCACTGGAAGGAATTCTGAAGGTGAGTAGTATAGACCTCGGCTTTAACCTTTAAGCAGGAGGGGATTCACAAAGCACTATGTAGCAAAGACAGAATTCCCCCGTTACAATTTCTTCCTTGCAACACAGCCTTGACACCATCATCAGTGAGTGAAGCATGTAAGGTGGACCATAGTTAGGTAGTTCAACCATGCACATAATGAGACCCCTTTCACACCAAGGCTGGGCACACACATTAATAGTTCAACTTAGTGCAACTTAAACAAAATTATCACCCTAATACTAATGTTGTTAATAAAGATGAACCCTGTAACTCAAATCAATAATGGTTCTTTGACTAAAGGCATCTGAATTTTAGATTTTAGTAAGAGGAGGAAATACAGCAAATTGTATTAGAATAATCAGCTCTCTAAAAAACTCTGAGTCCATCAGCGCTTGTGCAGTTTTGTTTACTGCTAACTACTCAAAATTTTGTCCCTGTCTGAGCAGATAAGTAGGAGAAAACTGTGATGCTGGCACACCTCAGATGAGGTACTCAAAAGTCATTTACACCATTAGCTGTGTAAGTTAAAGTGTGCGGACTTCCTAACCGCTCAAACTCTGGGATTCTAAGAAAATGTCTTTTTTAACGTGCTGTTAAACCAGCGCAAACTCACTCACACGCTAAAACACTGGAGCAGGCTTGACAAGCCAAGTTGCACTAAAGCACATCAGCGGGGCACATGATAAATTATTACCACGCTTAATTAGCGTGTGCGGAGGGGGAAAGGAGCAACCAGCAAACCCGTTTCATCCCAGCCGGGGCTACGCTCCTCACCCGGCTCCCCTGAGTCACCCCAGCGCGGGGGTGCTCGCCGCGGGCCGCGCCCCGCACAGCGCCCGTCCCGGACCCGTGGGGACCCCGGGAGCCGCCGCCGCCCCTCGGCGCGCCCCCCGCCCGCCCGGCTCCCCGCGGCGGGTCCTCACCTGGGGGCAGCGGGTCCTGCGGAGCAGCCATGGGGGGCCGGCGGCGGGTCCCGGTGCGAGGAAGGCGCTGGGCTCGCCGACGTGCCCGGAACCGCCGCCCCGCCGCGCCGCCCCCTTCCTGCGCCGCCCCGCCGCAGGTAGGGCGCTCCCGGGAGCCACAGGTGGAGGCAGGGAAAAGAAGGCAGGTCCCACCCCTCGACGCCCGCCGGAGCGTCCGCCGGGAGCCCGCGTTTCCTAGCGGGAGACACCGCGCTCCGGCGGAAACGTCGAGTTAGCTCCTCCGGGCTGTGCTGTGTGAAAACGCCGTGTTTTCCTAACACCACACACGGGAGGGCGGGAGGGGGTGTGCATATAGGACCCCTCAAGTAATGCTAGTTTGGACCTAATGTAAGTCACTGCAAAAGCATAAAATCAAGTGCTCTCTCGCCCTCTCTTAGGGGTAATAAGGCACTGAGATCGCTGCCTTCAGGCAGAGAAAGGCGGTATGCATTAGGGTTCGAGGCGCACCTGCAGGTGGCTCAACGTGCACGGAGAGAGTTTACCGACGCGAGCACGGCAAAGCAACGATCATAAACTGCACTGGTTTCTCGCAGGTATTTAAAATTCGTCCTCTTGTGCTACAGTCGCTTCCAGTATCACGACGATGTTAAAACTTCTGGATGTAAATGCTTTGGGACTCCACTGTCATCTCTGGCAAATTCTCTCACTTAAGGTTTCAGTATAAAAGTAACGCAGGTTTCTTAAAGAGAGTCTGTGCATGAAATCACTTTCTAAATGAGAAATATTATGTATTGCTATTTATTGTACCATAAGCAAAAGAAGCCAGCATAACTGAATATACCATTAGAAAGATTACATTTGAGAGTTAGCCACCTGGCTCCCTTATTAACAAGGTAACTTTACAGACAGATTCTATTCTGTGACACTGGGAGAGCTCCATTTCAGCCCACTGGCTTACACTGGCATAACCAAAAGTTCATAAAGCATTAAAAAATGTTTTTCAGTGGTTCTGTTGTTGAATTTGAGAATTCTTGTAAAAGAATAAGTAGTTTGGAGGAGAGCTCTTACCTCTGAATCATCCTACCAGTGAAAGTACAGACATGGCATTTAGCAGATTAAGAGCATCACCCTTATTTCATCTGAGATAAATGGGGCCTTCACCACTGGGTTATACACACAAACATGTACGTGTATATTTATATATTTTAATCTCCAAGGTACAGGTAACAAATCACTAAGATTTCTGCAATTCATGGTGTGTAAAAAATGAAGGATTTTTTTTAGGCATATTATTGGAGTCTGGCTGTTCAAGGTATCGGTTGACTCTCATTGCTTCCATATTAATATTGAAACTCATTCTCAAAGAACAGAGGCATTTCTTAGTTTAAAAGGGTAACATCAAGTCTAATTAGAAATAAAATTGCTGATTCTGTGGGTTTCTCTAGATTTCCTTAGAGGCACAATGGTTTCAGTGATGGATAATTAGGTTGAGAGCAGAAAAAGCTTATTCTTACCTACACAGATCTGCACACATGCTACAGTAATAGTTGGAGTCTCTTCTATAACTGTGACAAATGACAAACCCACAGTACAGCTAAAATTTTTTTAGATTTTAAACCTAACAAATTTATGCCTCGATAAAATGAATGTCGTATCTGCCCCAGAGACCTACAGGTATGCATTGCCTCTGCGTGCTGTTCAAAAACTACTGGTCTTAACTTCAGAAGTAGACATAGTGACTGCGAAAACTTTGGATATATATATGTACAAGCTATATAAAAATGTATCCATTAATTTCCTTCAAAATATCCTGAGTGTACTATTTTTACATACATATCTGTAAACTACAGAAGGCTATAAAGCGTTGGTGTTGGGGGCTAAGTCAGGTTTTACCACCAACATAGACATTTATTCTTCTGATAGCTTACAACCTGAAATCTTCCTACATTAGGATTAGAAAATTATTTCAGTAAACAGTAACAAAATAATTTTGGTGGAACAACATTTGTGCCACAGCCAAAACTGGTTAATGCTGCTAAAAATCATGTATTTTAAAAAGTGTATCTATAAATGGCATTGGCTTTTCAATTTGAAACAGATCCATGAAGAACTCTTTAAAATAATGAAATTTAATAATAGAAATGAATAGTCTAGATAGTATTACTGCCTCAAAACCTAGGTTAGTCATCATAATTTAACATTTTTTTCCTAGTACTGAAGAAGGAGCCTGCAATTACTTATAAATAGAGCACTGTCAACAGTACAGATTATTTTGGTTGTTGCATGTCTGTTCTTGTATCACTCTTTAATAAGTGCTATAGAAATCTTTGTTTGTTACTTAGCTAACTGACCTGTCCAGAAAGCCAGGAATTATTTTGGCAAAACTAAATACAACTGTATCATAAAAGCTGAGTCCAGAATAAGATAACTTTAGGTAACAGCATTCTCTAAAATGCTGGATTAACTTTCTCATCAAATGTCTATACATAAGTACAATCTATCTCTTACCTTACTGTAACCCTGTAAGCTACAAAACTCAGCATAACTAATCATAATGGGAAGAGTTCAGGATTTTGTAAATTTTCACTCAAATACAGAATTAATAATTTCAAACAGTTTTTACAAATTAAGTCTACACAGATCTCTTCTCACTCCTTTCCTGGCTCCATCAAAAAAACCCTAGTCATCTTTGATGAGGACAGAGGCTTTTCTCAAAGATCTACAAACTATCTGGTAATATATAGCTGGATAGTTTATTGTTTGAAATAGCAATTAATCCACAGTCTCAAGGGGTTTCCCACCTTCTGCGCACAAGACTGAAGACAAAACGATGGGCAATATATTCCTCTTCTGGAAAATATTATTGCCATCTCCCCCCAAAAAAAACAGAGCCACAAAGCAACCAAAACAAAACAAAACCCAAACAAACACAACAACAAAAACTCAACAAAACAAAACAAAAACAATCAACCATAAACAACCACAAACAAACCAAAAACTCCAAAACTGTTTTCCCAACTGATACTCTGTGGCTTTACCCCATGGAAATAAAGAGCTTTTGTTCCAGATGACAAATGCCACTATAACTCAGTGGAACAGTAACCTTCCCACCACCCGGCAACAAGGGTTGCCAATAGACGCAGTAACCGTGGGCCTGTCAGAACTGCATGGCAACCTTGTTTATTCTTTCTCATCTGTTTGCTTTCTACATCTCAGATATCTTCATTTAAGGAAGTTCATATTGAGTAAAATACTTCTATGTCAACATAAACTCTTCACCCTTGATGTGTTTCAGTAGATTGAGGAAAAACCTCCCTGCATTTTCTCTCCCAGGTGTCCTGTAGATAGCTTTCAGCTGTCAGTACCTTCAGAGAATTGCTAGAACAGTTCTTGAAAATTTTGAGACTGTTTTGGAGTAGGAATAATAAACCAGCAGCTAAAAAGTTAAAGCTATTTTCTTTGCCAATAATTATACTGGTCTGTTCTCTTACAGTTCTTTTACAGGAACGTCACGATTTTGACATTTATTTGACAGAAGCAGCATTATATGGAGAAAATATAAGAAATGACGCACACCAAGACCATCTTATGTAAGCCTGTGGATAATTTGTTTGCCTGACAGGACTGCATGATATGGGAATGTTCCCACCACTCCAGGAGCTGTGCTGTGTCCAAATCAAACAGACACCACAGAAACAGTAAAACCTTGCTTTCTCTAGATTGACATTTTGAAACAGAGCCTAATACGATCAATTACAGGCTGCAGCTTATCTCTCTGCAGGGACACTATCACGGTCCCCCTGCCTGGCTGCTTGTTTCCATCAGTGTACAATTTAGCTGAGATCTATACCTCGTGGTCAGATTTGTTGACAGATAAGTACGTATACAGAAAGTGCAAGTGCACAAATCTTAGGCGGTTTTGTAAACAAGATTATGTATGTTCATCTGCTACCACTATATTCAGCAGTTTGACAGAGCTCGTAGACTTATTTCTTTGTTAGCATTCCTTCTTAAAAAATTATAGGTACAGGAATGACACTAAGACTCCATACATTACTTCTACCCTTCATTCAGATAGTGCTGTTATATACTACACAATGCAGTTTCTTAGCATCCAACTGTAACACCCACACATGAAACATGGAAATGACAATACAGGTTTATAGCTAAGATTTGTAGTTAGTTTTTCACCAGCTACAAAAACTTTCCAAAAAAAAGGTACTCCCTCCTTGTAGTTTGCTCTTCTTTCTTTTTCAGTGCATTCTACCTTTCCTTCCCTTTTCCTCAGAGTCACTGTGAAGATACTGCTGTATGCAGTTTTCTTATTAAAAATTTACCTTTTTTTCCAGCATACTGAATGTGACATATTGTTTTGCCATTTACAGGCCACACTCCTGCCCTAACCCTCGACATCCATGGGTACTTCTCAAAAGTTATTTGTACCTGTTGCCTCAGACTTGAACATATGTTGTGGTTTTAAGGCAGACATCAGTAGGTGGGAACAGGACTCAGTGAAGCATGACTTGCAAGGGAACATATCAGGCCTAATGACAGCGGGACAAAACGGGTAAGACTGTTCAAGTTCTTCAGTTTTAGAAGGCCTGACAGACCGCAGGACTCAAGTGCCCTGCTACTTGTCTGCTTTCTGTACTTACATCAGGTGGCTTACCGAAAGTTCTTACCCACAGCTGTGCCTTGCTGTATCATTAAATCTAGACTACCACAAGATGTTCCATTGCTCAACAGGCACTGCCCTCCCACCGCTGCTGTTTGCCAGACTTAAACAGAAGTTTGTGACATATTGATTCCTCTGGTTTACTCTCCTAAGTTTAGGAAGGCCTCACTCAAATGTTAATTTGGAAAAATAAATAAAGGCAAAAGTTTCAAGGGCAAAAAAATTCAAAATAAAAATCCACGTTTCAGATTACTGAATCTAGTTCATGAACTTGACAAAGCAGCTGGGATTTACCAAGCTTCTCCTAACATGAAATGTGACACCATCCTCTTTTGCCTTGTATGTTCACTTAAATTAGTCCGTAATAATCTCTAATATCCATTTTTACACAGTTGATGACTGTAGATTATTATTTCTATCTACAACCAGAGTGCATAAACTCAATTCTGCCAAATAAGACCTGGCTAAAAAGCACCAGTGGAGCTGACAGTAGCAGGGCTTGATCAGTTTCAGGTCCCACTGTGTCCTCTCTGCAGGCCAGAGGCATGTTTGGTAATTACAGATTTGCTAAAAGACTGTCTGTCACTCTCTGGTGCACCCAGATCTTTGCCCACTCAAAGGAACAGCATTGTCATGAGGAAGAGGTGACTCTGATATGCATTATTTAATTCTTATTTATGAATACAGAATAAAGTTTTTAGTTCCCATGTTCGAACCTTTCTTTGCTTGCACATAGAAAGAAAATGTTAGAGCTTGCAAATAGAACTGTCAACATTTTTAACAGGAATGCATATTATGAAGTCAGAGGAGATATTTGTTCTTATGCCAACAACATTAAAAAATTAAATATATAGGCCATACTCTTCGTGACCCCGGTAAGCTGTAAACTATGATTATCTCCCTCCCTGGTAAAGGTTTTTTCTCAGTCCCTGCTAAAATATCACAACATCATGACAAATTTCTTTAAAAGAAAGACCCTAAGTAGATACTCAGAGCTTTGTAATATGCTGTTAGGTTTTGACTGTAATTGGAAGACTGTTTCTTCTGCAGCTATTTCCTGAAACTGATTTCACAAAGAAATCCTACATTAGGATTTTCCTGTTTGGGGTGTTTTCTTACACATTTTTATTCCACTACCAAAGTAGCATTCATAGATTTAACTCAACACTAAAACATGAAATAAGATTGAAAATACCCTAGAGTTAAGAAAACTGTATTCAGCTACATCCAGTTCTGGTATAGCAGATAATACTTATGTATACAAGAAACAATTTCTTTTCCTTTTAAAATAAGTCCTTGTACATTTTTACAGCAAATTCCTTGTCTTTCTAATATGGCAGTAAAAAACTAAACCACTACTGACTTCTGATACAAGCACTTCAGAGGTGAAGAAGTAAAGTACCTTCTGTGACTAACATAAAGTGTTCTGAACTGACAACTAAGTGAACAGTATGACTTTAAAAATATGGTACTTTACATCTAACTTGTATAGTCCTTTAGGCAGCCCAAGTGTGTGACAGTGCATGTGCTTGATTCTTCCAAGGTTTGGGGGCTTTTTAAAATACTCATCATAGAAACTTTGTTCCAGTATCACAGGTACAAAAGGCAAACTAATACAATGAATTCACCTTAATCTGCTGAACAGAAACGGTTCCTTTGTGAGAAGAACAAACCACTTGCGATAAAGTATGGAGTACTGATACTGAGAGCAAACTATGGCAATGTAAACATTAGCATTAGCTGTTCTGCCATTTCTTCTCAAACATCTAGCAAATGTATTGGTCCACTGATGCTGAAAGTAGGAATAGGTTCTCATTTAGTCGTTTCCACATGACAGATGTACTGCCTGTACTCCAGAGGGGCAAGAAAGGAGCAGTTACATCATCTCTCTGGAACCAGACTATCAAACTACTACCTACTTTATTTTATGCTCTCTGTAATTCCTAGACACCATTTCTTCAAGCCATTTTCAGCAATGCAAAAATCTGTGACATACTGGCATTTAAGGACAAATATAATGCAAAACTAATCTGAATTAATTTATAAGTAAATAACAATGGTCAATCTAAAATCTTTGAAGCTCTCTGAAATAGTTACCCCAGTTTTAAAGCTTAAAGCTCATCTCCACATTCCAGTAAAGCAGTATTCTCTAACTGAAAGGCTGTAAGAAGAGCCTCAGTTGGCATCTGACCTGAAAACAAAATCCTAATTCCAGCAACCCTGCACATTAACTCAGTGCAACACTCGTGTTTTTCCACAGGAATATCACTTTTTTCAGTTCTGGAAATAATTTACATATAAACTTTGAACTGTCAGGACCAACAGCTTGGTTCTGAGCTGTTTGGGCTTTAAAAAAAAAAAAATTAAAAGAAACTAGAAAGAAGCCACAGTACAGTCTTAGATCAGATCCAACAGCTATTGGTGAAGCACAGGTAGACAAATTCAATTGATGTCATACTGGAACTTTCAACCTCTTAAGTGTCAGACTGTCTCCCTATGGGGTCAGTAAAAAAACAGCAAGTAGCCACTGCAAGGAATGGTCCTACCTTGTCTTCTTCCCACCAGGATTTGTATCCTGGCCTTTTCCACTGGATCGGGTTGAGGAATGAATCAGACATACAGTGAGTCAGTTTAGTTGGCTGGTCTGGCAGAAAATCATCCCAAGCAGGGAAGAAAACCCCAAACATTTTCCTAAGGAGCTGAATGGATTCAACATGCAACTTCAGGACTGCTAGCTCAGACACATGGGATAGGAAAAGAGAGGGAAACAGGAGTGCCTCTTTGCACACAACTCAGCATTTCATTATCTTAACTCTACTGAAACTACATCTGAAAGCATCTCCTCCCTCTCTGGTAGGCTTCAATTTGCTACACAGGAGCCTGTGCCTCCACTGGAAAAAAAAAATAGGATGGGGGGTAGAGAGTACCAAAAAACCAAAACCAGAACCAACAACAAAACAGTAAAACAAAACAAAAACAAAAGGGTCGAGGGACTCTGGAGCTTCTTCATTAGTTTCCAGCCTTGCTCTCATAGGGAACAGGTGAGAGAACCAGACAAAGCAAAGCCCTATTCCCTATCTTGCTTCTTGCTTCTAAAAATAAAAAATTAGGTGTGCCCATCCTCATCTAAATAGCTTCTCATTAACGTGGCCATGCAGAGGGAAATGAGCAGTTTAACATAAAAGAAAAAAATCCTCTGAGCGTCCAACACAGCCACCTCAAGGGCACTTCCCAGCAGCAGGGAGGTGGGAAGTCTCTGGAAGTACTTTGAGTCTCTGTTGGACACCCAGCTGAAGGCTGGACGTGGGCTCCACTAACGCCATAAACCCATCAGTGGGGCAGGGGAACCGTGGCCTTGCTCAAATCATCCCTGTAGTGCTGGGATAGCACAGCCCCAGCCTGCTGGGTTACACTGGGATGGACTGGGCCAAACTGATTGATACAGGTCTGGACTGGGTTGTTCAGAGTTGGACCAGATTTAGACTGTGACTAACCGGGTTTAGGGGCATCGACTGAGGTTATACTTGGTTTGTTCAGCCTGGAGGAGACTGAGGGGAGACCTCATCATGGTCTTCAACATCCTCACGAGGGGCAGGTACTGATCTCTTCACTCTCACGACCAGTGACAGGACTCAAAACAAGGCTGAGTTGAGGGAGGTTGACGCTAGATATCAGAAAAAGGTTTTTCACCCAGAGGGTCTTTGGGCACTGGAACAGGCTTCCCAGGGAAGTGGTCATAGCAGCAAGCCGGACAGAGTTCAGGAACCATTTGGACAATGCTCTCAGACACATGGTGTGGCTCTTGGGACTCTCCTGTACAGGGCCAGGAGCTGGACTCCAATGACCCTTCTGGGTCCCTTCGAACTCAGCGGATCTTGTGATTTTATGATACTTGGCCAAAGTGGTTGATACTGGTCTGGACTAGGATGTACTGGCCCGGACACAGTTTATATTGGGTTAGACTAGAATGAACTGGGAGATAGCGGGATGCACTGGGATTCAGTGGGACACACCGCTTTGCCCAGCCCGCCGCCACCGCCCCTCCGCACCTTCCCTCACGCGGCCCTTCCCGCCGCGCCGCGCACGCGCCCAGCCGCGCCGCCACCGCTTGTTTTGGAGGCGCGCGTGGTCCTCTCCGATTGGGCGGTGCCGCCGCCGCCGCCGCGCGCCGTGCCCCGCCCCGCCCCGCGATCTGAACTACAGCTCCCGGCGTGCCGCGCGGCGCGGCCGGGGCAGCGGCGGGCGCTGGGGGGAAGCGGGCGGCGGTGCCGGCGCTGCGCGAGAGGAGCCCGGGCGGGTCGCGGTGAGCGCGGCGCCCCCGCCCCACGGGCCCCGCCGCCCGCAGGAGCGGCCGCGCCGGCAGGAGGAGACGCTGCTGCCACCGCCGCTGACCCGCGCCGCGTCCCTCTCCTTCCTGTGCCGGCGGCGGGGCGGGCGCTGCCCCCTTCTCTGGCAGCCGCGGCAGCAGCAGCATGAGCGGCGGCGGCGGCGGCGCCGGGCGGAGCGCGGCGGCGGGGGCACGGCTGGCGGCGCGGCTGCTGGCGCTGCTCGGCTGCGTCCTGACAGCGGAGGCCCAGGTGGGGACCGGCGGCGGGCGGGACGGGAGGGAGCGGGGGCAGAGCACGGCCGGGCAGGGATGCGCGCTGGCCGTAGGCAGCGCTGCGGACCCTCCCGAGGGGCAGGAGAGCACAGGCTGGAGGTGAGGTCACTTCGGGGGGTCGTGGGGGCAGCTGTGGGCCGTGTCTTGTGCAGCCTCCCCGTGGAGAAGTCGGGTATCTCTCGCTGAAGTCTGTAGCGCACGTCCTTCCCTTTCCATCCCCTGCGGCCGGCATCCAGCCTGGGGCCGGTGCCTCCGATCTCCCGGGAGAAGTTGGTTGACGTGGGAAGCACAGATAGCACCAGTCAGTGGGATGTTGTGTCGAGGAGCTCCGGGTGGGATCGTGCCCCTGGCTTCAGGCAGAAACTTGGGTGTCCTGATGAAGTCCATGAGAAACCATATGTTCGAATGGTGATGCCAGTGCCCGGGCTTGGTTTGTGCTTAGGTCGTGTCTGTCTGCCCACGTTACAGAGAAGGATGAGAACGCTCCTTCTTTCTGTAAGCTGCCTTCACAGCTTCAGAAGGGCAAGTGTCTGCACTTGCTATGATTTATCTGCTGCATGACTGTGACTGAAATGAAAAGCTGGTGTCAAGTGGGAAAGGCTTTTAGCTTGCCAAAAACATTAGAGTGAGTTTATAGAGGAATACGATGTCCACGTGGAACAAAGTATGTCCTCTGAATTGCCCTTTTTCTTGTTGTAAGTTGAGGTTGTTTCAGGTTTAAAACCCCATTACTTTAGTAGCTATTTTAGTGTAACTGAATATTAATGAATTGGAGTTCTCAAAGAAGCCTTTAATAAACTGGCATGGCTTTCTTGTGATGTTTGGCAGAGAGACTGCTTGTTGCGATTTCATAAAATTGTCAGCATATTGTATTCAGAGTTTGACTTGCGCAGGAAAAAGATAAGCTAGCCATTAGTTCTTTAAGTCATGTTACCTAAAGCTTTTCTCACATTCTGAAGCTATGGCAAAGTATAACATTTAAGAAACAAAACAAGGTGTCCCAGGTGGTCTTCTAATTGTTGAAGCAATTAAAGGACAACAACCTGTTAACACTAATAAGGTTGTTTGTGTGAATAGACTGCTTCTTAATATATGCATTTATTCAGGTTTTTCTTAATGTTGAAGTGCTGAATGCATTTCTCTTTCCAGATTTCATAGGGAGAAATTGATGCAGGTTGGACATTGACTTTTTCTTCTGAAAGGTTGATTTGTCTTGGAGAGAATAAGAAGTTTTACATCTCTGGTATAGCTCTGATACTTGTTCAAGAACTAAACTAGGTATGACAATACCTGGAAATACTTTGATAAGCATATTGGAAATGTAAAAAAAAGAAATAGTAGCTACTCAATGTCAGATGGCTTCTTGAACACAAATTATAGCAGGCTAATGATTTTAGAGTTTATTGTAGGGTTCAAAGTAATTAAAAGATGAAACGAAGTCTTAGTAATCGTCCACTGTAATAAAAGTTGCGATAGCTTACGGTACAGTTGGGTCTATGTTTGTGAACCAAGTTAACTAGTACAGTTCAATTAAAAAAAGGCAAAGTACCAATTGTATGAATAACAAAGTGGGTCTTGCAATGTGTGATTTTTAACTGTGTAGTATGCTGTTCTTATTTTGATGTCTCCAGCTGGAGAAAAGAATTCACTGCAAGACCTAGGTGTTGACAAAAACAAAAAAATTTTCTGCATATTCTTAGAGTGTTCCATCTCACAGAAGTGAGAGCACTGAAGACTATACATGGACTAGTAAAGAAACCCTTTCACTGGGGTACTTGAAGGCTGTGTTGCTGTTGTATTACTGTGCTATGAACTGACTCCACTGCTGTGCAGTATTGGTGCTTCGTATGTGCTGTCAAACTATTTAATAAATTGTGGTTCGGTACAGATATAGCATAGTTTAATTTTAGAGCATGCTTTTCAAGGAAACATTGATTTTGCAATTTTATGTATAAAAGGAGCTAACTGTTCCAGTTTTGAAAAAGCTGTGAGGAAAAAAAAATGGAGAATTTAGTTTGCTTGCTCTTGTTACTCTGAATTAAGTTTTCTCTTCATAACTCCTTAGACCAGTTCTAGTTTTTGAGGAGGGTTCCTTTCTTAAACTTCACTGATCTGAGTAAACTGTACTGCTTTTTTAGAGACATTCTTTGGGTTGAGATCTTAGTTGAATAAAAAGGCTGCAGCTTTTTATTTTTTGCATGGGTATTTGACACTGAGTGTAACTACTACATGTTTATTTGGGACATTTTTTCCCCTGAAAAAGCATTTTCTGTTTTGCATAGATGGTAACATTATTTTTGTAAGCTGGTCATGAGCTGGTCATCAAAATAGTTTCCTACTCTATGTCTTCTGAGTCCAAAGAAAATTTCTTGTATCATCCTATCTATGCAGTTCAGTATTATTTGAGCAAAATGTTGAGAGTTATCTTTTGCCTTTATATATTGTAATGAAATATTCTGCTGTTTGTTTTGTGGTGTGGTGTTACATGTAAAGGCCATAGCTTTACGGGTTTCTGCCTGCATGTGATCAGTAAGAAAACTTGACATTTTTAATGAAATCACAATAGATTAAAATGCACAGGGGTTTTATTTCTGTAAGTATCAATAATAACAAGTTTTGTCTTCTGACTTTGAAGTTGGCAGTCATGTGGGCTGTGAACATTCTTGGCTTTGTGAAAAACCTGTAATTGCACATTGGCTCTTTCACAGTTG